GTAGGTTTGGGGTGCGGGGTCTGGGCAGGAGGAAAGGTGCAGGAGCAGGCTAGGGGGAGGGGGGCTGCATGGGAGGTAGGGTGAGGCACGGAGAGGGGGTCTGGGCAGGATGGGGGGATTGCAGGACCGGAGCACTAGCTCTCTGATGTGGGGGGGAGCCCCAAGCCTCAGGGGCCGGATTCAGTCCCCCAGGCCATGGGCTCTCCTTGCCCCGTCTAAAGCATCGAGCCGCATGCTAGAGGGCTCCACAAACCGATTGCCTGGGCATGCTCTAAATCAACCCCAATAGTGGCCCTGGATGAAGTGGGGAAGATTAATTCTCTCGAATCACTGGGTAAAATCCTGTGTCTTATGCTGTGCCTGAGGTCAAAGCCTGGCTGGGATTTTCAAAAGGGCCTAAGTGATTTAGGAGCACAAGCCTCATTGCTTACCAAAGGGCGTTGGGCTCCTAGGTCACGTAGGGGTCTTGAAACATCGCACCCATTTTGATTTCTCGCTCAGAGCTGTTGGGTTTCTTCCCCCCGAGCGTCACTCGCACACAGCACGCGCCTCGTCTCCCCGTCGACCAGCCCAAACCCGCCTGCTCATGCCCGGCAAGGCCCTCTGGACCCCTGGCCCTCGCTCTCTCAAACCCTCCGGAAGCTTTCTCAGCGCTGCCTTTAACAGCCGCAGCCTCGCTGGCTACTGGGCCCAGCCCCCTGGCCTTACCGGGTTGGGGAGGGAGTGTGGGCCTGCGAAAAAGCAGCGCTATTTGTCTGTATGGCGAGGGCGGGGCGGCTGCTGTGGTGCTGGAGCTAACGGTGTTCAGGAAACCAGCGGGAAGGACACTCAGCAGCACCAGCTAGGGCTGCCAGAGGGTTTAACAAAAAATACCAAACCCTTCCCACCCTCCCACACACAGAAAAAACACCAGGAAAAAATTCTGTTGAGGAAAAAAAAGGGGGAGGCTATTTGTCTGTATGGCGAGGGCGGGGCGGCTGCTGTGGTGCTGGAGCTAACGGTGTTCAGGAAACCAGCGGGAAGGACACTCAGCAGCACCAGCTAGGGCTGCCAGAGGGTTTAACAAAAAATACCAAACCCTTCCCACCCTCCCACACACAGAAAAAACACCAGGAAAAAATTCTGTTGAGGAAAAAAAAGGGGGAGACCAAAGCTGTTAAGCAAAAAAAAAAAAAAAAACAAAAAAAAAGTTCTGCACCAAGTGTGGTTGGGGGGGGGAGGAAGGTGGACGGGGGCGGGGTATTTTCTGGGTTTTTTTAACCGGACAGAAGACACATCGCTTCCCATTCACGTATTAGGGAAAAAAATTGGTTGGGGGGGGGTATTTTCTGGGGTTTTTTTAACCGGACGGGGAACCCAAATACCGAGCTGTCCGGGCAAAAACCAGACACCTGGCAACCCTGCTGCCAGCTCTTTGCTCGGTCCCTTTTGCTCCATGCGAGTGAGATGTTATAAACCACAACTCACGTTTCCCATCCACCTCCACCGAGCAGGGGAAGGCCCGGCAGACGCCACGGCTAGTCCGGCGTCCCAACAGCCAGCAGGCTTCACTCACGTCAGACTGTCAGGCATCACCCGGCAGAAGAGAAATCAGGGGAATGGAGAACACAGGGTAACCACCACAGGGAAGATTTGAACCTGGGACCTCAGCGTAAGAACCTTTGCAACTTGCGCTATGAAGCCAGCTTGCACCCAGTTGAGGGTGTAGAGTTCCCTTGTTCTGCTGTCCGGCTGTAAGTGGTCTGAATGCCACGGCATGGGTCAGAGACCACACTAGGGGTGTGCGGTACATATTCCTCCTAGCTGAGGAAGGGCACGCGGAGCGTCGGAGACCCAGTTGCGTCCCCGCTTGTAACCACCACCAGGCAGGTTTGAACCTGGGACCTTTGGAGCTGAGTGTAGGAGCCTCTACAGCTTGAGCTAAAAGCCAGCGAGCGCTCTGCTTCGGCTGTGGAGCGCCCGTGTGCTCATCTCGCGGTAAGTGGGCTAAGTGCCACTGCCCGGGCCAGCGACCCACACGAGGTGTGTGTGGGGTTACAGTAGCAGAAGCCCATTTACAGCGGTGTCACACCGTGGGTTGTCGAAGGTTTGTTCTTTGCGGCGCCACCTGTTGATTGTTTTCCTTTATCTGAATGCGCCTTCCACACGCGCGATGGGGAGCAGCCCTTCTCCCGGGCCGCCGCAGCTGAAAAAGCAACGGCACGCCGTCACCGTTGCCGATGACATAACGACATCCCTGTGGCGTGGCCAATCAGCACCTCACCCAGACTTGCCTGCTTGAGAAGTGGTGAGAACAGCCAGCGCCTTTTGCGTTATCAGCCCGCAAAGCAGCTCACAAAGGCGGTCAGTCTCAGGCCCCTCATTTGACATATGGAGAAACTGAGGCACACTCAGGGAAATGAGCTGTCCAAGCCCACCCCGGAGGCCAACGAAAGAGCCAGGACTAGAATGCTGGTCTCCAGAGTCACTAGTTAGTGCGCTAACCACTAAGGAACACAGCCTGCTATTTGAATGTTGAGGCATTAGCCCAACAGGCAAAACCTCACAGTGGAAGCAGGCCTAGAGTTGCCCAAAATAGTAACACTAATTTTAGTTGCACCCTCAATGAAAAAGGCATCTGCCTAG